GAACCCAGCCCTTATTGCTGCCAACAGGTGCAGGGAGCAGAACAGCAAGGGCCAGCACTGCTTAGAGCCACAAAGCAGCACAGGGGACAACTGCAGCTGGACCCGTGTCCTGGTGCAGGGGGAAGCTGCTGCTGGAAGGGAGCAAGTGGGGGATAAGCAGGGACTGCAGGTCTGGAGTGAGGGGCACTGGCAGGGCTGGGGGGTCTGTGGCTTAGAAGCGAGGGGCAATGGCATGGGCAGGATCAGGGCACTGGCATGTCAAGGCTGCTCAGCACCATAAAGTAGCAGGGTGTGGCAGGGACAGCTGCAGTTGGACTCCGGTCATGGTGCAGGGGGGAGCTGCTGTCAGGAGGGAGTGAGTGGGGGTGGTAGGCAGGGAGCGAGGGGTACCAGCAGGGTTGGGGGGGGTGCTGTGGCTTGGGAGTGAGGGGCAACATCATATCAGGGGTGCTCAGCACTGCATTGCAGTATGGGCGGGGCAACCGCAGCTGGATCCGCATCCCGGTGAGTGAGGGGAGCAGCAGGAACTCTGATTTTCCATGATGAAAATGCCAAAATCTAATGCTAAAATATATAGGTATTTAGACTATTTTATTATAGTGATTGGAGCACTGGTAGGCTTCCAAATTGCTTTATGACTTTAAATATATCAGTGAAACATTGTGTGCAGCTGATACCTATATATAGTGGCCTTTCATTTTAATCACAGATTTTGTGATTTTTTTATCAGGGAAAACCAGGATTCCCGATGGATAGTCACATGAGGAAAAAGATTCTTGCAAAATTATTTATTTGTGGCTGTGTGCACAATTCTCTCCGTTTCGAAGTGGCATGCAGTGAGGGGAAGAGAGAGCAGTGAGAAGATGAATAAGAAGCAAACTTGCTCTGAGTCTTTTCTGAATTTTCTATATGGGGCTGGTGCCAAAGGTGAACTCCTTTAGAGAGGTTGAGCAGACCTCTTTTTACCATATTTAAATTGTTGGAGAAAGTAAAAAATTAAACATTTCTTAAATATTATTTTTTTTTGGCTCTACTTCCTTGGAACAGGCAACAGCAAAAATGGCTGTGGTCAAAACTTGGCCTTCAGCGTGGGTACTGTTCTTCATAAGGAATGTGTGCTTTGGTGGGTGTGGAGTGGGTGGGAACTGGAATTAAAAAGTTATAAACAATTGATAGATCTTGATGTTAAAAGGCTGGTACGTGGAATGGGGTTAACCTCCCCCACCGCGCACACTAGCCAGAAGGATCTACAAAAATATAAGATGAAGGGTGAGGTGTAGAATAGCATCTGAAACAATCCTACTTTATGGTTTCTGTCCTGGGTGGCACTGAGCTGTACCAACTTGTGACTAGGGAGAACATGCAGCCTATTTTATCTTTGGCACTGTTATCTCATTGGCAAGGCCTTTCTCATGTACAGCACTACATCCACAACAGCAGTAGGCTAGGTTCTGATGTCCTTACTTAGCTCTTACTCAGCATTTGATCCAATAATGAAGGACAAAAGGAGATCCCTTAGACCATAAAATGTGGCTCAGTGAGTTTGCTTCAGTGTCATATTTACAGTGCACCAATGGCCTGAACGCTAGTTTTTTCTAAAGCAGGAGATCATGTTTCTTAGTGGCACAAAGCATTTCACTCTGTCTGCAGTTGAGGCTTGGGTTCAATTCTTGATGTACCTCACTTTCACCTTTGTTTCTGGGGTCTCATCCTATTTCCTAGCAGGGACCTTTATGCCATCACAACCACATTGTTTTGAAAAATGCCTTCTTGCAGTTCACTCTGAGCACAGAATAAAAGCTTTTAAAGGACATAACTGGAATTCAGCATTCTAATTTGAATGTAGAGTGTCCAGATAGCTTTGCAAAATGTACATTTTATTTATAATGATGTAATCAATTTGTTTCCCTTGATGGACTTTTTAGCATCCTCAGAGTCAGTCACAGAACAGGCAAGGAAATAAGGTGCTGATATATTTGTAAGGCCTATGAACATTGACTCTGATGTAGCAAATATACATATGTACTTAACTTGTAATCCATGGAAGTACTTCTGTGGGAAAGGTTGAGTAGGTATGTGAGCCTGGGCAGAAATCAGGGCTGCTGTCCAGTACCCTTTACTGATCATATATTTAGCACCAAAATCTCACCAAAGCAGAGAAAATAATATGACCTCACCAAATAAGGCAGTTCTATTAGTTCTTCCCTGCCATGAGTCAGTAGTCAATCCCAAAGTTTACTTACGTTGGTAGGGAGTGGCGTGCCAATAAATTAGTCAGATATGTAAAAGATAAGAGTTCACACTTTACTCAATGATTCTGTTTAAAAGAAAGTCTCCTTTCGATTGTTGTTTTAAAAATGTTTATTGGTAGTAGATCATTAGCACTTAAAAGCAAGTATTGGGGCCTCAGTGTGCTAGGTGCTGTACAGACTCACTGGCTGGTTGCAGATGTCTGAAAAAAACCCCAAAAAGCGTTGCTTTAAACTCGGTGTGCTCCCATGCCGAGCCAGCACATGCCCAGAAGAGGCAGTGACTTAGACCCAGCTCGCCCGATGTCTGTATAGATTGGGCACTTTAGTGAGGCTTTTCTGGTGCTTTTATCTAATTGCTGATTAAATCAGCGATTAGATCAAAGTGCCAAAAAACCCCACTTAATCACCCAAACTATACAGATGCTGTGGAGCTGGGTCGAATTAATGCACTGCTTCTTCCTGTAAACTTCAGGGGTTTTTTGGTTTTCTTTTTAAACATCTGCAGGCAGCCCGTTTCTATCCTCCACAGCCCTGTGTTGAACCAGCAGATGCCTATGGAACACAGGCCCTTACGCCTGTCCAACCTGTTGTATGTTTGGGATGGTTCTCTCTGCCTACTACCTTTTTAACTTCCAGCACTAAGAAACTGTATCATCAGGCTCCTCTAAAGAGCTGGCAGGCCAAATAGACAAGAGAGCTGAATGCGTTATCTCTATTGTACAAATAGGAAGCAGAGGAAAGAGATGGTAGGGCCCCATCTTGCTTATCATTAATGACTTTTATGCCTGTTAGCATGAGCCAGGGCTAGATGAATTGCTCATAGTCCAGCAGGATGTCTGTGGCAGATGAAGGAACTCAGCCTTAAGGCATGGCTATATGGCACAGTGTATTGCTACTCAGCCAAGCTCAGGTGCTAGATGCAGGGTAGCTACATTAAAACAGCAGTCTTCCTAGGCTAACAGCTTCTCAGCAGAGCAAATTAGCTGAGGCAGTGCCCTATGCTAACTTGGCGATAATACTTGTTGGTATCCAAACTAGATTCTTTAGCTCAGGTACCTGCACATAGCACTAGCATCGTGCCGTGTAGATACCCCTTAGTTTCTAAAAGCTGTGCGGTACATTAACCACAAGGCCATTGGTTTTCTCAGTTTCTTTTAATAGGCAATTGAAAGTTTATTGTATTTATGTTTTTTTAGGGTTAGATTTTCCTCTCTCCAGTTTGAATGTTTAAATTAAGGTTCCAGGTTTGATTATTACAGCTGCTAAACTTTTACCTTAGTAGGCAGATTTCTGCCTCTAGTGCAGGCTGGGCCCTAGATTTCACTGATGAAGGCTGTAACAAGTCATTTGGGAGTAGACAGAGCACTGCCATCCTTGGGGAAGAACAGGAGGTATTTATGGACTACATTTATTAGAGTAGCCACAAAAGGCCCCAGCTGAGATTGAGACATAGATAAAATGTGTGTGCCCCCCCCCAATTGAGTTATAAGTCCCATCATTTTAACAACATGATTGCTTGGCATAGAAAATATGCCCCTGCTCTAAGACTTCGGGTGCTTTGGGGATGTGCCTGGATCCCATGCCCTGGTGCATAACCATTAGCACCGCTGGATTGATATGAAATCCTGCTGTAGGCAGCCGAAGCTACTGTTTGGCCCCAATGGAGCTGACCCAGGTGTGGGACAGGAGCAAACTGAGCTGTTGAAAATGAGGGTTTAGAGCCTTTCAACACCAGGGGTTTTATACTGAGGCAGCTGTCTGGGGGAACAGCTGGAATTGAGGTGAATCTCCAGGGCAGGCAAGGTCTGGAGCCCTGATCCCACCAGATCTAAAGCCGGGGATAGGAAGGCAACACCCAGAGGATTTAAGGTGGCAACACCCAGAGGCCTCAAACCAATGGTGCCAGCCACCATAGGCAGATCTAGGATGTTGAAAAGAGGAGTGCAGATGGTGAAGTGCATCATCCCATATGAAAACACCACTTCTTTTTCTCCAGTTAAAAAATAAACCAGAAGCTTTACTAGGACGCTAGGGGCCTAGGGCTGCATTATTCTGTTAAGATCCAAGCAAAAACCAGTCTAAGTTGGCATGAGTTCAAAACAACCTGCAGGGCTGGGAAACAGGAATATCCTTACAGCGAGCAGCTCAGGGGCAGCAGCGCTGCAAAACAAAGGCTCGCTTGACTAGTGGGACACTGACTGAACCTTTGAGAAGAGGGGGGTAAACCAAAGGCTCGCTTGACTAGTGGGACACTGAGACATTGAGAAGAAGAGCGGGGTAAACCCCTGGGGCACGAAGAGCTTAGTAGGGATCGGTAGGTGACAGCTCCCCCCTGCCCTGCCCAAGCGCAGCCTTCTCCCAAGCAGGTCCCTCGGGCAGAGAGCAGCAAACCTCCCGCAACCCAGAGGGAGCGATGAGCAACGCGGGGAAAGGGCCATTCTGCTGCCGGCGAGGCACGACTCCGAGCGCAGGGACTTTGAGGCCTCGGTGTTTTTGGAGCAAAACAAAACAAAAACGCCTTGTGCAAGCCGGCCAGGTCAGGCCTGGCGCCCCTGGGCTGGTTTGGGACCGAGCTTCGGTCAGCGGGGTCGTGCTGATGCCATGAGGGGCAATGGTCTCGAGCTGAAGGAGGCAAACGTAGGGCAGAGAAACCTCCCGAGCAGCAGCAGGGAGGGCAGCGGGGGCGGGGCGGGGCGGGGGTGCGGTGTGTCCGCGGCGCTCACGCCCTTGTGCTGTCCGTCCCCGCAGCGCACGCGGCAGGCGGCGGCAGAGCGCAGGCCCCCGGAGCCCCAGCCGGACCCCGCCATGCCGGTGACGGAGAAGGACCTGGCGGAGGACGCGCCGTGGAAGCGGATCCAGCAGAACACGTTCACGCGCTGGTGCAACGAGCACCTGCGCTGCGTCAACAAGCGCATCGGCAACCTGCAGCACGACCTGAGCGACGGGCTGCGCCTCATCGCGCTGCTCGAGGTGCTGAGCCAGAAGCGCATGTACCGCAAGTACCACGCGCGGCCCACCTTCCGCCAGATGCAGCTCGAGAACGTCTCCGTGGCCCTCGAGTTCCTCGACCGCGAGAGCATCAAGCTCGTCTCCATCGGTGAGTCCCGGCCCGGACCCCGCTTCCCTTCCCTTTCCCCTTCCCCTTCCCCATCCAGGGTGCCTGGGGGGCCGCCTCCCCGCCGCAGTCCGCCCCCGGCCCGGGACGGGCCCCGCTGGCCTCGGGCACCGGGGAGGGTCTGTGTCCTCCCCAGAAAACTCCTGGTTTTAATCTGCCCCCTTTGCTTTGGATGCTGCTGGGATCTCGGTGTGGTGGGGGGAGCTCAGCCTTACTGGTAGGGGGACTCGCAGAAGCATAGGGCTGGGAGGGACTCGGGCAGGGAGGACTGCCGGGGTCAGCTAACGCCAGCGACGTGTGCATCCAGCGCAGCGGAGATGGTTACCGCTCCCAGCAGCGCTGCCCTTTGCTGTGTTGAATGCTGTCTGACTTTTTTTTTTTTTTTTGTACTTGGTGACTCTTCATCTGACTGTATTCCCAGAAGACGGGACTGCCACTGGTTCCTGTGCTGCAGTTGCCTTGCGGGCTTGCTAAAATATTACACCACCAGGCGACACTGGGAAATACTTATAAATGTGTTAACTTGAAGAATGCTGCAAAGTTCAGTGTAACCTGAAGTCTTGGTCTTGGGCTGTGGGCTAGCTCCAGGGCTGACAGGCTAACACTGCTGTCCTGCTTCTTGTACCTTTAGAGAGGCAAAAAGAAATGCAAAACTCTAAAACTTTAGAGAGGAGAGGATTTCTGTAGACAGAAATCCTCATTCATCCCGAACTCACAGGTAAGCATGCTCATATCCCATGGAATAAAATAGGGCTGCTGGTTATTTGCCTAAAATTAGGCAAATGGCCATATCCCATGGAGTAAAATCAGGCAAGAAAAATCCCCTTCTTTTTTAAGAGGCATTGTGGGAGTTGGTGCAAATCAGAATTCCTCTGGTGTGGAAGTGACTTGGCTTCTGACTAGAAGAATGTATAAATTCTTCTTCTACTTGAGTGGTCTCTCTTATGCTTGTCGAAGTCTGTCCCAAACATGCAGCTGGTCCAAAAAAAGGCAGAAGAAATCCTGCTTCTCGCGTATTGCCTGGACCAGGGCTACAACGTCACTTTTAGTACCGTAGCTAGCTGAAGTGTGTGTACAGCACTACATTGTGCAGTATAGACATAGTTCTAGCATTGTGTCATTCTTCTAATTCTACCCAGTAGCATTTGTTAACTGTTAACTACAGGAGTATTTATTGCTGCCTGGGGAAAGTGTCTGTGGAAATCTGAAAAGCCTTAACTTTTTAGTTGCTCTCAGTTCTAACTGGACAAGACACTTGACCACTCTTACCGATCAGTAAGGTCCTAAGTTACACATTTCTGTCTCTTGTTTTTTGTGTTTGTTTTTTTTTTTTAAGTGGAAAGTCCACCAAAATATGGATCCTTCTCAAAGCCTTGTGAGCGTAGTGTAAGTGGAGGTGTCTGCTTTGTGACAACTGCCTTGAGTACAGAGTTGAACAGTAAAAGGAAAGGGACCTAAAAGCATTGCTATTTGCTAGAAATTGAGGCTCTCCTAAAACGAACGGCCAGGAAATGTTCTTAAGAAATGTTGGTGAAACCTACTGGTCATGCTGCCCTAATCCTAGAGCTTAATTAAGGAGATGCTTGGTAACTTTGGCTGGGATAAAATCTATGTGTTTCAGTCCTGGACCACCACTACCTTAATTATGTTATAAGGTCAAACACAGGGGTCCTAGCTAAAGTGTACCTTGCAGCTGCAGGTTCAGCCAGCAACATTTAAAAGGTGTTATGGTATAAGAACTGAGGAGTGTTAACTAGGGGAAACATGTTAATGTGAGCTAAAATTCTAGTAAGGCCTGTGCTGTTTGTACCTAGAACTTCTGACTTGTGTTAGTTAAGCTGCTTTAAATCTCTTCCCTCTTGAACATAAGGCCTCAGTGTCGGAGCAGTCTCGGGTTCATTATGCACTTGAAAAGTAATCAGACCAGAAATCTAAAGTCTGATACCATTACCAATGTCAACTGGAACCCATGAACTTGATTCAACTTTTGGAGCTTAGTGACTGTCATCAATTGAATTAGTATGGGATAGTTCTCTTTATCTTAAGAGGCTCAAGAAAATTGGAAGACTTGCAGAACATAAGGCAAGCAGATGATTCCAGAAGTTCAGAATAAGAGTGATTCACAAGGTGGTAAATAGAATGAGACTGGTTACATAGAAGTGAGCATATGTGCATCTGTGTCAGAGTAAACTAATACAGCTTTTGATATTCACTATGCTTGAGTCAGTATATTATAAAGAGCCAGTTTATTGTCTAATCACTAAATAACTGCCAGTCTGTTTAGGGTGCTGCAACTTGTTGTTTAGCTCGTATCACAAGTAATGCTTCAGGCAAGTTTTGCCTGTTCCTGAAGAGCAACTTCTGGATGTGGAAAATGGCTTGGCCATAACGCAAGTCTGAAAAGCAGCAACTTGAAGTGACTAAGGGGATTGCTCTGACAGAGCATTACTATGTGGTGTTCCCTTCTTTCCCCCCTCCCGCACCAAGAAAGTAACTTTTTACAATATTAAACAAGGGTCAGTGTGGGTGGGGGGGCATCTAAACTACTCAGTGACCTTGCATTAGCGAGTTCTGGATGAAGTATGGTAAGTATGTCCATATTTCTGATGAGTAAAATTAGGCATCTGGACCAAGAAGAAAAATCCCCTTTAGAGGCATTGTGAGAATCAGAATTCCTCTGGTATGGAAATTGCTTGATTTCTGACTAGAAGAGCATGTGCTAATTCTCAGGAAGCTCCTCTTGCACTTTAAGTAGTGTCTGGGTGCAGTTCTGTTGAGCTATTTGCTCCTTGGAGATGGGAAGCAGCCCATAAACCTACAAAATGTTTGACAAAATTAGAGGCAGTTTCCAATCCAAATGGCTGAATAGTGTTGCTTTACAGAGAAATATTGGTCATGTGCTTAACTGGAAACATAAGTGATTATAGCTTTTTAGTACCATAGTTCTCATATGCTACGGGGATGCATTTCCCATACCCAGGTGGCTGTGATCCAAGAATTCATTTTTTTCCCCCCCTCTCTTAACTGTGGGTAACTGCAAATATCAGTTGTTAGATATAATTGGTTCACTATACCATCTAGTGACTGAGGATTAAACATGTTTTACTGTGAAGGCTGACTTGCATAGCTGGCAACCTTTAAAATGAAGCAAGTTACTACCCTTCTGTTCTGCACTTAGTCTCTGCCCTGACAAGGTGGCACAAAGCGTAAGTAGACTAGCAGTGATGTCTCAACGGAAGCTCCTAGTACAAAAACCGCAGCATTGGTGCTAAATGCCTCTACTTCTGAAGGAAGTACAGTGTGGTGCAGCAACACAGTCTAAACTATAAGAGTCTTATGTTGAGACCTAACTGCAGGATGCAGAGAGACCTTGAAGTCCTGAGGGCTGTCAAGCAGTTTTACAGATGACTGTTCAGTAGTATCCATGTTGTAGCCAACGTAAAGACACACGCATGCAGTTCCTGAGAATGGACGACAGTTGTGGAAGTGGCTTTTAATGCCTTTTACCTGAGCTATATAGCAGACTCTGAAGTCGTGTGTTCATAGCCAAGATCTTGCTGTGCTTCTGGAACAGGAGCCAAGCAGTAGCATAGAAATTTGCAGTGCGTCTTCAAGAGCTTTTGTGTGTTTAAATAAAACCCAAAACCAGGCTGGGGGCACGGGAGAAAAATCTTTGCTTGCCCTTTCAAGAAAAATGGTCAGTCAGTGAGCTCTGCAAAATTTATTCAAACTGAGCTGCCCAAAAACACATGGTAGGTAACATGCCTGTTTCTGCCCAAGTCCATTCAACTTGTTTGTTGGACCTGTTTTACACCTTCCATAAACTTAAAAAAACCCAACGCTTTCTACGTTCCCTCTAGTTGTATTTAGGCTGAAATTAGACCATTACAATGATAGCTGCTGGTTCCAAATTGAAGTTCGTTTCTACCTTTTTAAGTCTGTTAACCTAAGGAAAATCTAGCAGGAGTGCTCTATCTTGGTTTGTAGGACCCTGAAACAGGGATTTTGAGACTGAGGCAAACATTGGTCCCCATCATAGGTGGTCTCTGCTGGGAATGCTTCCTTTGACCTGGTTTCAGTTTTTGCTAGGTTCTGCAACTAGTGTGGTTCTCTATTGTTTCAGCAGTAGTTATACCATGCTAAAAGGTTCCAGTAGTTGTCTAGGGGCATCTGTAGATGGCATGGGGGTTTAAATTGAAGCAGTGTTTTTCTTAAAACTTGCTAAAGTTTTAGTGAGTGTCATCAGTTGACCTGCTGCAGGGTAGTGGTCTTTATTCTCCTGAGAGAGAAGGCAGTTCTTCTGATGCTCCTTTGTTTTCCCAGTGCAGAATCCCAGCTAGCAAGACATTAGGAAACAAATGGTTAACCTTCCTATAGGAAGTACAAGGAGCATGTTTTGGAAGTGGGTATGCTACCCTACTCAAATTCTGGCTGTTGAAAGCACCCCTCTTCAGCAGCGAAGCCCAAACCGTAGTGAACCTAGGCCATAGGCTAAACAATGCAGTCTTTGAGTACTTCAGCTACTAGTGGCCATGCCTGTCATATAAGACTTTGCAGCAGAGGTTTCCCACCTCTTTCTGGCATGCCTCAACTCCTGAGCTGAAGAGCCTGCTAATGCTGCATAGCTTCATATTTCTTTGAGCAGAAAAAATGACTGGACTAAAGGCAGTTTACTATAAGAAAAAGTGCTGAGACCACAACTTACCTTGCTTAGGCTGCCACAGCCGTATTGGACACCTAAACAGATTTTGAGCTTGAGAAGTGAGATATCTTGCAAGCTCTCTTCTTGGTTTCTTTTTTGTACTTGTCCAGTCTAATTCTCGTAACTAATTGCTTAAAAAAATAACACAAAGCCATTTCGGCAAGTATAAATCTTGGTGCTCTCTACTTCTTACCTTAGGTGCTATTAACACATCATAAGAAGGCAGTCAAAATACATTTGCTTTCTGTCTGCTACTAACCTGTAATTTCCCTGAAGGCTG